AGATTTTTATTAACAGAATGATGGAAATTCTAAAAGTGCAAGTATCAATTCGCATGATACTATAATATCTTGAATTATAGTTAACATTAATTATTTCAGGTAAAATAAAAATATTTGCGTTAATTCAAACCCGCTTGATTTATCATAAAACTACGTAACTAACATGCTAATTATCTTTTCCTCCAAAAGCTTTCGAATACCAGAATATCACCTTAACGTTAAACTCATTTTCGGCGTTTCCCGTTGGACCAACTAACCTTTTCCCAGCTACAAAATACATGTATATACCTCAGCCGAAACTACGACAATACACTGCTTGGTGAGCCGAATGCTCATACAACGTCATAGCACAAACATAGTTTTGTTCCGTGCTGTTTCCTTGTTCAATACACTCGGCGATAAGGTATTGGTACGGATCGATCGTGATAGCTTTCTCGAATTGGCAAAGTGAAAAAGAAGAGTCTGGCTCGAACCAACATATGAGAACGTGGTCTTTTGCTGAGTGTTGATTCGTGGCCGTCTGGGTTTAGGATTTTAGGAGTTAGTTCCATTTCGAAGACTGGATAGCCGACGTTCAGAGCTGAAATGCGTTAGTGTTATCCATTATCCTTGTAAGTGCTAGCAGAATTTAATAACACAACGAGTACGTACATACGTAGTAATGCAATTGTTGGATTAAAAAAATTTGTTTTGATAACGATAATGTTTTTAAAGATTTAAATAGTGCCTAATATGTAAATACATGTACTACTGGGAAAATAAAGGTTGATATTTGAAAAAAATTCATGATGAAATTTTGTAAAGTATTCTTGTATCAGAAAAGTGCAGAAACGCCAAAAAGCGAAGTTTCTCCAAAACTCAACCTCGAAAAATTCATGCTAAATTTTCGAATTCATTAGTTTGCCCATACCAGTAAATGGCCACTTTTAATCCGTTCTTTAGCATGATCTTTCTACAGAAATTTAGAAGTTATTTTGTATTGACACAAGTAATTCCCATATTTTTGGCATAACTATATAGCACATGGTTGGTAGTTTCGAGTCCATATTCCATACAATGAGCAATAAATAATTGAGCATAAAAGTTGTTCGAATCGATAATATTTGCTTTTTCGCATTAACGAAATACATTAGACTATTACTCAAGCATTCGAAGAATACATAAAAGTCCATGTTATTAAGCGGTAAGGTCGAAGTAGCTGATTTCCTATTTCATAATTCGTAAAGTCTTTGCTTGTTTTTCTAAAAAAAAAAACTTCCGAGAAATTTTTTTAATTGAATCAAATAAAAAAATAGAGCACTGCAAATATTATATGGGGCATGCTACAACAACGTGAGCTTAACAACAAAATATTGCCACAGTTTATCTCTGAGTATTTATTTTCGTCATTTCTTGTTGGCAGGTTGTTGTTTATTTGACATCTACATTTTCATTAATTGCATGTTTCTTTTTTTTGGGCGCAAAAATTAAAATTACAATTCAACTAAATAAAGAAGAGACTAAAGAGCATTAAATACATATCTAAAGGAATTTTTTGTTGAACATTATTCGCATTAATTCAATCTAAATGGGAAGAAAGCAAAAGGGTCAGCTAATTTTTCGGTTTTGCGAGTTTTGTGAGTAGTAAATTAGGTAAATAAACCTCTTTATAAATATCGATATCAAAAGATGGCAATTTTTGAACAAATAATGGGAAACTTTCTGGCTTCGAGAGGTTATATATGGGTTATATAATATATTAAATCTTTTTCAATAAATCTGGTTTTTGTCCTTATACAAGTACTATTTTCTTTTGTCAACTCTAATTTTGACAAAACAAGAGTTTAACGCTATAAAAACAGTAAGACACTTTTTTTATTGTTGAAGTAAATCAATTAATAAAAGGAAAATCTTCATTTGATATTTTACGTTTATCTTTACGATTTAAATATTATACATGATATCTACGTATTTAATGATACGCAATCATTACGGCATTTCTGGGTTTGGGTTAGGGTTATATGTGAATTGCCTCCCCGACATTTTGTTAGTACTCCAAAGCTGTTTCGCATTTCTTGCATTTTTCCTTGTGTCTGCCGTTCTTATTGGCTGTTGATCTGTGATCGAGAAATTAATAGTTTTGGGAGCACAAACTTTTTTGCAGCAATAAATATGCCTTTCAAATACGTACCGGTACCGCCTGATAAACATGACGATAACGTTTCGGAATTCGTTTTTTTTTTATATTTAGGATTCTCAAGAAGCCATTTCATTATTTTGAAAATAAGAGAAGCCTAATCAAACAAATAAAATAAAAGTTAAAGATGGCTTTTTTGCATTTATTAATACTTTCAGTATTGTGAGAATTAAATTTTTGTCGATTCACTATTAATCGAGAGTCTAGCCGAGTTCTTCTACACTTCTTGTGCGAAATATGGAATTTTAGATGCGAGTGTAATTTGTGGTTTCATGTCTATTTTTCATTCACCAATACTACATGAAAATAGACAACTCACCATAAAATTATTGATGTCTGCTATTCGCCCAAGTAGCAGAAAGCATTGACGCCGATACTCTACTTCAACTATAATAATCTCGTTAATAAGTGTTCACTAGCGAAAAAATATTTAGTTTCTCAGGTTCGTAAACTAAATTCGTTGCTACCGGAATAATATTTAACATTGTGACGTCGTTGCCTATTGGATTGATACAGAGTTTGGTGGCGACTGAAGCGATTAGTTTTTTGTTGTGGTAAAATTCTCCAAGGTTAAACTGAGCTTTCTATGTCCCGACGCAGCTGCCCTTAATACCATTCAAATGCTCTGCAGTCATCTTTTTCTGTTCCTTTCCATATTCATAACATAATCCAAGTCGAAAATGTGAAAGAGAACTATCATATACAGATGTTTTTAATAAAAGATATTCAATAAGATTCCTCATCATTTTATTTTCATCATTTTTTTATAACTAAAATCATAAAAATATTTAGGCTATGGTTCATAACATCTAAAGTCATCAAACGTTGGTATTTTATGAAATGCATAAACTTCTCAACTAAAAGCAAATACAAAATTTAATCTGTGAATATGCTCAGAAAGTGACTATCCTATCATATTCACGGATTAAATTTTGTATTTACTTCTTAGTTGAAAAGTTTATACATTTTATAAAATACAAATTTTGATGACTTTAGATGTTATGCACCATAGGTCACACTCAGAATTTGCTGCTTTTAAATACCATTCAAATGCTTTTTGTTTCATGCCGATTTCAAATACAACTCAAATACATTTTTTATCTTTTTTATCCAATTCTCGTCATTATATAATTCTTCAATTAAATATTGTACTACAGTATCGAAATTTGCTTCATAATTTTCATTAGATTTGAAAAGAGAACTAATAAATCACTCGTTGTAGTTTCTACGGATAAATCAGGGTTGTTTTTACTTATATTTAAATTTGTATTTGTTTCTGAAATGGATGAAGTCCAAATTCATTTGATCATTTGTGGCGTCATCGGCGTTTTTTCTGGATTTTTTTCCGACTATCTTCTTTCTTTGCGCTACTATCTTCGGTCGTCTATAGTTGTAGATTCTCTTCGTGTTCAGCTGGTTGCTTTATCTTGTTTTTCGCCAGACTATTATTTTCAAAAGGTTCAATTTCTTTCTTTTTTTTGATCAGAGAAATTAATATATTTGAAAACACGTCTATTTTTCCGATCTCTGTAAAAACTAACTTTTTGTTGTTAATTTCGGACATGTTTCAGTATTTTATGATCGATATTACTTCCAAATAAAGAGATATTATCGTTATATTACGTAGTAATAAATCTCAAAAGTACCTATTATAGGCAAGACCACAAAAAGAGATAATTTTTAGCTAGTTCTAGCACGACTCAAGTAATGATTTACGCCAACATTCCGAGTACATATACGTAATCGTATATTGGTGATTACTATTGATGTTAAAATGCTCATACAAAGTCGGTTTTTGAATTTGCTTTGGCTGTTCGACTCCAAACCGATCCAAATAGTCACATGATCAATAAAAATCTATATCAATCAAGTTAATAAATAAGCGACGTTACAATGATAGTGGCAAGAGGAAGATAAATAACTATAAACATGTAAAATAGCCAAGCTTAGGAATAGCTCTCGCTAAATGATTCTTGTAAGTAGTTGCTTTTTATCGATCATCTTACAAAAAGATATATATCTCAGCGTCTCTATAACTAACGATCCTAAAACACTACCATCAATACATTCTAATTTAGAGAATTTAATAATCCTAAATAAAGAGACTGGGAAATTGAATCGGCAATCGATGACTCGGACAAAATAATAACTGAGAAATATTCGCGCTCACCTGATTACGTATACAATGTATTTGATTGACCCGAACCTTTTAAATATATTTAAGAACACTGAACAAAAGGATATTATTTCATTTAAATAAAAATAATTGCATTAGCAAAATGGTTAACAAAAATGGAAAATTTAATTATTAAAAACGATTTAAAAAGTCTCTAGTGTTTTTTTCCTATTCATTCATCTGTGTATCTCACCCTAATACGCTAATTTCGATGTCCTCTACAAATTCTTATTCATTTAGCAATTCTTTTACCAAGGCTGAAGATATTTAAACTTCTCTTGAAAGCGATCATTCTACAGAAGAAAAACTTGCTCCTGTTAAGATGTAATGTAAATAATACATCTATCAGGTGATTTGACTCAAAGCCGAGTCGGATCAAGACTCGACTCCTGAAACCAAGCAGAATCAAGTCGAACTTTCAACATCCCTACTGATTACCAATTATAATCAAGTCTTTGACGAATAATTTAAGGAGCCATCAAATGTTTGTATTTTATAAAAAGTATAAACTTCTCAACTGAGAAGTAAATAGACTCTTTCCGAGCATATTCACGGATTAAATTTGGTATTTACTTCTCAGTTGAGAAGTTTACATTTTTATAAAATACAAACATTTGATGACTTAAATGTTATGCACCATATTGTTTTTAATAGTTTATGTATATATCGATATTGGATATATTGATTAATCTCTAAATTCTCGGATTTTTCACACCAACTGCAATTTGCATGACTACACTCTTTTTCAAAGCAGCGATATTTAATAAGGTTATTTTTAGCAAGTATCGATACTGGTAATGGTTTTGTTGAGGTTTATCGTTATATGATTTTCTCCTAAATTCAATGAATTATTAGAAATCGAAAACACTAGTGTACCAACTACGTAATGATACTTGACGATGACGAAACCTTTCGTCACGACCAATTTGAAAGTGTCTGACGAATGACGAAACCTTCGGACCAATAAAATACTAGCGCTAGTCGATGCCGACGATGATGATCATTTTTGGAAATGTTAAATATCAATTCGTAATATGTACATGTACGTACATGTATTGATTTTCACGAAACCTTTCGCTATGATGTCCACTTTGGAAATGCAAGTGGCGAATGACGAATCGTCTGACGAATGATAATTTTGGTAAACTAAACCATAAAAACAATAGGTCAAGTCAAGCTTACCAATTTATCGGTTTATT